GGCTAGCACAAATAGCTTGGCGTCTGAACTGCCTCCGAGCTCAGATACTGCCAGACTAATACCTAGAAAGAAAAATACACAGTTAAACATAGCATAAGCGCAATACAATGCATTCCAATCAATACTTAGGTCAGTGTTCGCTTAAGCGCTTCAAAAAGAGATGGGTCTTCAGCTTGCGTTTGAAGACCGCCAGAGAGTCTGCTGTTCGGACAGCCAGTGGAAGTTCGTTCCACCACCCGGGCCCCAGGACAGAGAAGGGTCTTGATGCTTGTCTTCCATGCTTTGATTTCTGTGTCTTGGCCTAGTAGTTGGCAAGGCACAAAAGTGAGTTTCACTGTAATCACAGTCTGTAACATCACACCATGTCTGCTGACAATTTAAATACATAACAGACAAGAATCAAAGCAAGAACAAGTGAATTAGTACAGGGTGTCCCGAAAAAATTGACATAATTTTGTAGTCTAATAACAGCCAACCCTCCCTCAAATGATCTCAAATTTTAACAAAATGTGTAAAAACTAACCAAGTTTAATTTTTTATGTTTTTTTTTTTTTTCAGGTTGAAGAATGACGGTCACTAGAAATGAAAAGGCAAATAGTGTGTTAGAATATGCTCGAACACAGTCAAACAAGAGTGTGCAGCGAGCATTTTCAAGAAAATTCAATAAAAAATGCACCAACTGGAAAGCAGATTTGGACATGGCACAAAAAATTCAAAGAGGAAGGCTGTCTGTGCAGGACAAAGGGATCTGGACGACCACCAGTATTGGAAGAGATTACATTTGTGAAGCTGTGAAATCGGTTATAAAATCTAGATCTCTCTGAATTTCTTGTTCAAATTTTGATAAATAAATCTTGTATTGTTCAACATGAACAATACAAGAAAGTCTATTTAATTTCGTTTGCCAGGACATGTCAATTTTTTGGGACACCCTGTATTTTACAGCTCTGATACAACACAACTACTTTATTATTTTTGCATTGATAACCCTAATTTTACATAAACCCTCCAAGCATTTGAGAGAATCAGAGGGATACTTTGATTATGCAGACATTGTGCTGTAAGAGCTGAACACCATGTTCCTATAATTACTTACAGTGACTGTTTAGTTTTACTGTAATAGTTACTAATTCATAATTTTGCACGTATTGAAAAACTAACATTTTATTTAAATTAGTTATTACTATTATTTTACTAGTAATCAGAGTTTGTTACCATTATCTTTCCATTTTACTACCAACTGTTGACTACAATATAGTAACAACTACAACATTACCATGTAATTTTTGTTGGTGCAACTTGTTACCACAATATTACCAGATTATTATGTTGAGCCAAAATTCTCACAGAAGCTCCAGCACACAGTAAGCATAAAGACAGAGCAGAGTTTCAAAGTTACTGTGGCTTTTTAATGCAGTATGATGAGGCAGAAGTGAGCTACATAAACTGATGATCTCAGCGAGGTCAAACCTCAGAGCCACATCTAGGAATGTCCAGTTTCTCTCACAGTACTAATGCTTTGGTGCCACCTGTTGGTTAGGTGTGGTGTGACATCCTTAGATAACTCGTCATACTTGTATACTGTGATCTTGTCATAAAAGCTGTACTGCGCAGTATTATCCCTCACTGAGTCTCTGTCCTGCAGCAACACCCTGCATTACTGCTCCTCATCTTCCTCAGCAATGCAGGCCACCAGTGTGGCGTAAAGACTAATGGGCAAAACTGATTTAAATGTGATTAGATCTTTCAATTATAAATAGTGATAATAAAATGAGTGGGAGCTAATCTGATTGTCAAGAAAAAAAGGAGACTTGTAACAAGTACTTTGAATTGAATAATACAATATTTTTCTGTTGGAAAACTGGAAAATAAGTTGTTGTATAAACTTAGTTCAATTATGCCACATATTTCCATTTAATCAAAGTCGGTATACACTGGCTTTGTTACCTCAACATAAAATGAATTAGTTGATGGAAGAATATCCAAACATTTCAGTATAATTTATTTGAGTTTGATTGGAAGGAAATTATCTTTGGATAAAAATAAACAGTTTTCATTCACTGAAATACTGCTTTCATTATTTTTTACCAATTATACATAAACCAGTTACTTAAAGAAGACACAATTAATTTACTTAATGTAGACATAATTTCAGTTTGTAAGTCCAACAATGCTGTTGGTTAATTTTGTAGAGTGTAATTGAGGAAGAGTATTCCATTTTAATATTATTTTAATAAAGTCATGATCTTACCTATTTATGATGACACTGGATCCTTAGTAGTTTTAGGAGGATTTTTTTTCATGTATCTTTTTTAATGAGTCGAAATATCATCAATCTGATAATGTGAAAAATGAATGAATTCATTAATTATCCTACTCAGGGTGGAGCCACAGGTATCACAGACCTACTTAATCAAAAGGGGATGGAATATTTATTAAGCCTTATATTTTAAGATAATGAAATTTGATTTGTTTTAAGTGGGGGCTTTCACTGTATTATAGCCACTAAAAATCATTCCACTCTCCATCAAACTCTGCCGTATTTTCTCAGCCCTCCAATCACTGCTCAGCACCCATTGCTATCATCATTGCTCCAAGCCTTCAGTTCGTTATTAGTGCCTGTTTGTAACTGACTAAACATAGCACCTTTCATTTGAACCCATGCCTTTTATTAGCAAACCTGTGGGGGAGGTCACCACCAGCCATAGGCTTCAACGTCATGGTGACATACAGGTGGCTCTTAATATAAGCCATACAAGAGATATTAACCATTTAAAAGGCATGTTGTGAGTGCAGTAGATCTGAAGGTTATTCTTCTGAACTGTATTTTTCCAAGCAGTCCGACACTTTTCAATGCAAATTGTCAACTTTACTGTTAATTAAACAGTCAGGATAGACAGACAGAAAACAAACATACAAATCATAAAATCATGAGACAAGCAGTGTCCTGCTTACCCAACTAAAAATACACCACATGACCCTGAGGTACACTCTTCTGCTGATCCTTTGGCTAGTTTCTCTCTTACTTCCTCTTCTGCTCTGCTTCTCATCTCTGGCTGCTCTCTCGGTAAAAAAATGAAGAAAAGTTTTAATTTGTTTCGTTTGTTTACAGTTAATACATTTTAATCATTTCTTTGAGGTTTTATAGAAGTGCAGTGTTTACTTATTTGAGATAATAATGCAGAGACAACAAACAAAAGGTAAGTAATCTCAACTCTTCTGAAAAATTTGCCTGACGACCTTGTACATTCCAATATTTTGTAACCTTCAAGGCCTTCAAAGAAGGTCCAGTTATTTTTGGAAGCTAGAAAATTGTTTGTAAGTGACCTATCAAGTCTAATTAATGCTATAATGCGTAAGATATTTTAAACAGTTGACTATGCAAAGATAAATTTCAGTGACAGCTGTAAACTGGCTAAACAGAAACCAGGGTATGTATGAAAACAGATGGTTCACTGTTTGGGTAAAATCAGCTGTAAGGACGTGGCCGTTCTCTGAAGGAAAAGCATGACTGCGTTTGTGAGTAAATTCTCAAACATGCCAACAATAATAAAATCTGTCAACTAAACAGAGTCTGAAAATCAATAACAGAGATTGTCTCAGTCGGTGGTGGAAAAATTAGAGTGAAAAGCTAGTACTAGCTGGCTAGTAAATTCTGATAATTTTATGACCAGTGGGGAACTTTCAAGGTGTTCTAGACCACAGGTGTCAAGCTTCAGTCCTGGCGAGCCAAAGCACTGAAGATTTCAGCACACTACCTCATTAAACACACCTGATTTAGCTCATCAGCTAATTAGCAAGGCCTTCATTTATCATTTTAAGTTCATATGTAGTTTTTTTCAGTCATTTTTTTATAACCTGTTAGTCATAACTGTTATTATGACAGAAATAACATTTTAGGTCCCAATACATTTGGTCAGTACTGTGTAAGCCAAGTCATGTTGGAGATTACAGTCAATCTTATTATTCTATTTTCATTGCATTATTATTATTATTATTATTATTATTATTATTATTATTATTATCTAGTGTTGTTTTTACTGTCAGTTTGAACTTTTTTTTTTACATAATACACATTTACAGCTCTTTTGTATATGTTTATCTGACCAATATCTGTTTTGGTGTTCAATAATTTCCAGAGTACGATCAAGTGGAAGTTTACTCTTTATGTATTTCCTCTGCAGAACCAAATATGGATACAGAAGACCAGAAGCTAGACATGGATGTAGAGCACAGTGAGTCTTTTTAATGTTTTTTATTTCATGGACATGTAATATGTCTGACTTTGACAAGCCAGTGGGATCTGTAATACATTATATAATTATTAAATTATCTATAATATATAGTCCGTCCACAAGAAAGGCCAAAAGTCAAACATAATTCAGAAAAATAAGGCAAAGGTCAAAGAATTCAGTACTGGCTAAATGGCGTATGCAGTAGAAACATGCTGACGAGCGACTTAGAGCAAAATCAGCCTTTATAAAGGGAAAGTAAAGAACACAGACTAGACACAAGTGAAATAGGTAAATAGTAAGCATGGAAACAAATCAGTATTTCAGTGGCTGGTGGTCTCTGACATGACAGAAGCCCCCCTCCCCCTTGGTGAAACCAGGTACAAGGCAAATCCATTAACAATAATTAGGAAAGAAAGCAAGGGTCAAATACACAAAAAACTGCACAAAGGACCCACAGCTCAGGACTCAATTTTGTAATACAGACTTTGCAAAACACAGGGCCAAAAAAAGGAGTATATGTAGGGGAGTCAGTGAGTTCATGACTATCTGCAAGTGTGTACAGTGATGGAGGGGTGGAGCCATGGAATAGCAGGAGCTGGAATGAGCCATTCCAGACTTGGCAGATCCAAAGAGTCTCCCCAGAGGGGGAGACACTGTGACAATATCTAAGGTCTGAATATTTAATTTTTTATTTTTGTTTCTGTTTTAGCCTCACTAATTTAGTAGAACTGTCCATATAGTCCTATGTTCCCAAGTATATCAGACCAAACACATCAGACCAAAAGACACTGCAGTACAGATTTGTAGAAAAGTTGCAGAACACAACAACTTACATTTAGCCCATTTACCTGAAATAGAAAAAAATTCTCTGCGGCCTGTTTTTACCTTAAATGCTGCAAATTTAAGTATGTGTTCAATCTTCATCCTAAGATATTTATTTATGTTGAGCGGGGTGACAAGACTTCCCGGTTTTCTTCAGTCTCTGTTTTTTGGTGGCTGACCCCAGAAATGATAATGTTTTTAACTGTGAATTAAAACATACAAGAAAGTCCTAAGAAATACCTGGCAGCAGAGCACCTGGTGTTGTGCTTGTTTTAGCCAACAGAGGGAGCTGTTGCTGCTATCTACTAACCGCCTCCACCATATGCTCGCCTAGTTTTAGCAGGCACGTCAAACTGGGGACCTTCCGGGCCAAAGTGCTACAGAGATTAGTGTTCACTCTCATCTAATGCTCTGAATTCAGTTCATGGTTCTTTTTCCTGTAGCCACAGGTCTCTTTGTACTGCCAAAGTATTTAATATGAATATGATGTATGATTTTCTGACACGGTTTACAAAGTTACTGAGCTACTACCCAATTTTATCAGTCTGCCTTCACCATAGTTTATTACAATATAACAGTTACCATAGTCAAAACACATGAAATTGGAACTGTTCCCCTGTTTTATTTTATTGATAAAACAGTGGATATTTTAATGATATATTGGCTGCTAAACTGGAAATTTCCCCAGTTTTCATTTCAGAAATCTAGTCACCTTAATGTTGAGACTCTCCCGACTTATTCGCCATTATTTTCAGTGAGAGGATCTGTAGTCTTACATAAATTAAAATAATTATAAGTGATCACAACTGAAGACTTATTTGGACTCCATTTTCACCTGGTTACTTCATGTGACTAGTATTTGGATTGTATCCTGATAAGATTTTAGCCACGTGCATTTACACTAGGTCATCAAATGTGTCTCCTGTTAGTCAGACTGAAATCCAATTGCTGTGTGGCATGAAATATGCAAATCTGTTCAGCCTCTTCATCTGCAGTTTATCTTGCACAGTCGTGTTTGTTCATATCGCTATTAAGCATTTTGTTTAATTCGGTCCCCAACCATTTGCCTTCTCTATGTATATCCTTCTTGCAGACACAGATCACATGTACAGTGACGTACTGCATGGGGAGGAGTTTTGGTTTTACTGGGAGGGGTTTTGATAATACTGGGAGGTGTTTTGGTTGTAGTGGGAGGAGTTGTGATTGTATTAGGAGGTGTTTTGGTTGTACTAGGAGGGCTTTTGGTTGTACTAGGAGGGCTTTTGGTTGTAGTGGGAGGAGTTTTGATTGTACTAGGAGGGGTTTTGATTGTACTAGGAGGTGTTTTGGTAGTACTGGGAGGAGTTTTGATTGTACTGGAAGGAGTTTTGACTGTACTGGAAGGAATTTTGGCTGGACTAGAAGGAGTTTTGATTTTACTGGGGGGAGTTTTGGTTGTACTATGAGGGGTTTTGGCTATACTAAGAGGGGTTTGGGTTGTATTGGGAGGGGTTTTGGCTGTATGGGGGGAGTTTTGGTTGTTGAATGTGTCTTGGAGCGACAGATGTGTTTAAACTGTTATACCACGTGGCTTAAATGCATCTCAGTCCACCTCCTGAAGTGGTCTGAGTGATCAGATTTGTATCTGTTTTAAATGTCTTGAGTTTACACTTGCATTTTTATGCAGCTTGGCCTCATCCAGATACAATCCTGATACTCAAGACGCATGAAGTGACTAAGTGTTACCACGATCTTTCAGTTAATGTTCATAGTAATGTATGTATAATTCTCTGATATATTCATGTAAGCCATAGGAAATGACAGTTCTGCCTGCTACATGAAGAAGGCAGCTCAGTAGTACACAACTTTCTTTCTTTCTTTCTTTTTCTGAGAAGAGATGGAAAGCAAAAGGGAAACTTTGCAAGCCAGTGCATCAAATGATTGTGAGTATCTCTAAAAACTGAGCTGATTCATTCTGATTTAGACCTTTGAATATGGGAATTAAGTACAAAAATTATGTTTCACTTAATGAATATTTCATTTATTATAAATGTTTATTTTGAGAAGACGGGCATATCAATCCATAGGCCTCACTGGATAAAAAGCTGATTTACGATCTTTGATCATTTGTCAATTCAAAATGTGCTATAAAATGTAAAGTTTCATCTCTTTCTTACAGCTGAAGTTTATGCACAAAAAGAGCCATCAGCGCAACCCGAAACAGATCTCAGGCTTGTGGTTCTGGGTGGAGATTCTGCTGATAACAGTTATGCATGTAGCACAATACTCAGACTTTATCAGAGAGAGGAAACAATTAATCCACTGAAAGGTAACTTTATAGAGAGGACCGTTGGAGGAAGGCAGGTATCTGTCTTCAGAACCCCATCATACTGGATGGAGCACCTGGATTCACATTTGATTTTCTCAAACGGAGTCGAGTCCATCAGACATGAGATTCAGAGCTGCACGTCAACACTGTTTCCTGGTCCACATGCTTTTCTGTTAGTGATGCGAGCTGGTCATACTACTGGAAAGGAGCATTATCTGTTACGAGCAATAACCTCAGTGTTCGGAGCAGAAGCTTTAGAGTACACCATGGTGATGTTCATTCATGCACACGAACAGCACCATCCAATGGATGCCTTGAAGGACCGCTGTGTGCAGATGTGTGGAGAAAGATTTTTCTTTCTGGAGAACAACGATGAAAATGTGGAGGAGCTTTTCATGAAAATTAAGACAATGACACAGAAGAAACAAAGCAGGTTCTTTATTCAGCTCTTATATGAAAATCTTATGAAAACATGTTTTGATTCATGGGAAAGAACAAGACTTCATGCTCAACAGTGCAGAGAACATAAGCTGATAGAAGAAATGAAGGCAGAGCAACAACTGAAAGAGACTGAACTGAGGAGAAAGCTGGAAACACTTGAGCAGGACTTGAGAAAAGAGCTGGAAGCTTCCAGACTCAGTGAGAGTGCACTAAGAAAGGATCTGGAAGGCTCCAGACTCAATGAGAGTGCACTAAGAGAAGCATCCAGACTCAATGAGAGTGCACTTAGAAAAGATCTGGAAGCTTCCAGACTCAGTGAGAGTGCGCTAAGAAAAGATCTGGAAGGATCCAGATTCAGTGAGAGTGCGCTAAGAAAAGATCTGGAAGGATCCAGACTCAGTGAGAGTGCAGTAAGGAAGGAACTATATGAGTCAAATGACAGATCTAATAAACTTCAAAGAGAAGTAAAGGAATATAAAGAGAGGGAAAAAGAGCTACAACAGAAGCTGAAAGATCTTCAGGCTCGAGAGGAGCTGCTGCGCGACAGACTGGAGCTGGAGAAACAAAAGAAACAGAAAACAGAGGAACTGCAGGCCAGAGAAAGACAGCTGGAACACAGAGAGAAAGAACTGAGGAGCAAAGAGAGAGAATTAGGAAGCAGTTTGAAGGAATGGAGCCAGGACACAGCAGTGGGGAGAGGTGAAGAAGAAACAGCTGAATCAGCTGAGGCAGGAGATGTGAAACTTGCACGACGCAACAGCAAAGAGTGGACACCGCCATACAGTAAGATCTTTTACCATCAACATGTGTGATGGATTTAGGCACAGAGCGTTCCACACACCGCTGTATTATCTACACATTCCAGTTCATATGTTACAAGGGTTAAAAGTACATAGAAATGCTATGTAGCTCACATTTGTTTAATGGGATAAAGTTCAATAAATGCATTAATGTGGTGTTGTGGTATTTGTGTTTTGGGAGATTGTGTTAAATATTTTTGACAAAAATAATCTATTATGAGACGTTCTCTGAAGTAACTCTTCTTTTGTTTATTTATCCAGTGTAGAAAAATGAGATGAGGACTCTAGATGACCTGGACGCCTGAACAAAGATGGTGCTTTTTAAAATGTTCTGTAACAGGGGCCACTCAGAACTCACAGGGTCATGTGAAAGACTGTTAGCTTTACCAAAAGATATACAGACAAAGAAAGAAACAGAAAAGGTAAAAGAGGAATACAGAAGAATAGACCACATTTTATTTATTTAATATAATTGTTTATTTTTAATTGAATGTAAAAACTGTATTATATTCTGTTATTTTATGAGATTCCGAACTGCACATCAACACTGTTTCCTGGTCCACATTTTTCTTTTTGTTAGTGATGCAAGCTAGTTATACCTCTCTGGTTATGCTTCTCTAAAAGAGTGTTATCTTTTACCTATAGTGTTTGAGAGGGTATCTTTAGAATACACAACGGTAATGTTTTCCCAAGCACATTAAAATTATCTTCCAAGAAAGGCTGATCAGTGCTCTTTAAAAAGTGATATATAATTACAACTTGTTCCTCTTCCTGTTCTTCTTACTGGCATTAGGTAAAATAATTTTTCTTGAAGGCTCAATTCAGATGTAGTTTTGATGGTTTTTCAGTTGATTTCAGTGCAGTTTATAGTGAATGGGAATGGTTGCTAATGTCAATCTGCTGAGAGTTGAAGAATATTTCCTGGCTTTGTCCTCTAGCTCTCTGAGGTGACATCAAATTTTACTACAGTCATGCTCACAGTTGCATGACAGTTCAGTGATCCAAGTGGGCTATGATGACTCGCCAAAATGCTAATAGTGAACTATAAAATGATGGCACGTCCTCCGTCTATGGCAAAAGGCAATATTAGTGAGATACAGGCATCAATGTTTGAGCATCAGGTTGATTAGGAGTCAAACAGAACCCAGTGGTATAACAATGGCTACAGGCAGATGAGTCAGAATAGTAAATTCAGTTATTGACATTTTACATTTATCAGTCGCTAAAGTCAACTGGCCAGTCACTAGTCAACACCTAACTAGCTAACTGACTGAGATTTTAAAGTTGTCAGGACTTCAAGATGGCACCACAGATGGCTGCCCTGGGGTGTGGCCCCTACCTCTGTTTTTTTTTTTGTTGTTGTTATTAACATTGTTTGTGGCGTGTCCAACAGAATTATTTAGAACAGGGAACAGTTACCAAACCTCAAGGACAAAGACGAGAGAGAGAGACATGAGAAAACCTTCAAATGTAAGAGGTACAGGAGGGGGTGTACAAGATAAAAAACATAAAGTTACTTAACTGGACCCTCTCCAGTCATCAATGAAACCCCTAAAAACTCATCCCTGTTAATCACAATTACATATTTTTAAGTTATTTCCAAGAAAAAAAATCCCTTACTGCCTAAAAATTGCTTAGATGTAACTTTTTGAAAACAGATACAAAACTTTGCCTATAAAATATGACACGTAGCTAGCTACACCTGACTCTGATACATCTTGTTCCTCGTCATAATCATGCTAATGATATGGAAAGCCTCACCCGTCAGTGGACAGGAGTGGCTCCTTAGGTTTGTGACTTATGAAATCCTGACTGTCTGAATCCCACCTTAACATCAGTGACTCTGTGGTTTCCACTGTGGAGTTGCTCATGTTCCTTAGGTAGGAGAGGAACATGCTCTCCATAGCCAAGACAGCACAGCAGAGGATGCTCTTCCTAAGACAGCTAAAGGAATTCAACTTGCCACAGAGCCTGATGATCCAGTTCTACACAACAATCATCAAGTCCATACTCACATGGTCTATAACCATCTGGTTTGGTTCCTCCACTTCACAAGAACCAGCCAAACTCCAGCACATAATCAGGACAGAGGGGACGATCATCGGATTTAGTCTGCCAAACCTTTGCGGCATCTACAACAGAAGAGGGATGAAGCACACTGGCAAGATTGTAGCTGACCCCTCCCATCCTGGACATCACCTCTTCCAGCCACTTCCCTCTGGTAGAAGGCCTTCAAATCAGCACAACCAGCCATGCTATCAGCTTTTTCACCAGAGCTGTAGCACTCATTAGTGGACACTTTAAACTTGAATTAGTGGCAGTTTAAGCTTGAACTGAACCTAGCAATTATTTCTTATTGTGCTTTATACTGTGACTCTAACACCTTTGTATCATAATGCATATTTGCACAGCTGTTAATATTTGTATCATCCTGTAATATACTGTAAATACAAGTTTATGTATCCTCAGACCCTGCATATGTATACACATTTGTATATGCATCTTTTTGGCTCCATTCACGTTGGCTTTTTATTATTTACTTTTCTATTCTTTGATCTATTAGTTTTATTTTTATTGCATTTGTCTCCTTTGTTACTGACACATGTTTTAGAGAATACTGCTGTGTAGAACTCGACCAGAAGCTAGCAAGTGTCAAGTGAATCCACAACTTCACCTCAAACGTCTTTTCACAGACTCAAGGTAACCCAAGGATTAAAGCAGGGGTGAGTTATGGGACTTGAATCATACTATCAAGTGATACGTATGCAATCTGTTTTGTATAGGCATACAATCTACTTGAATTGCTACCATGCGAGCTACAAATAGTGCATCATTTTTTAAAACTGCACCACTTTTTCAGCCGTTCATGCATGACGTATGGCATATTTTGATATCATCCGTCTCTGTCTCTCCAGAACTGGAGCTGCCCAGGGGCATGTTTAGGGTCTGGCTATTGGGCTATTGCCATGGGTCTTTTTCCTGTAGCCACAGGTGTCTCTGAATATAATGCATGATTTTCTGACATGGTTTACAAAGTTAGTGAGTCAGTACCCAATTTTATCAGTCAACCTTCACCATAGTTTATTACAGTACAACAGTTACCATAGTCAAAATACACGAAACTTCAACTGCCCCCCCTTTTTATTTCATATATAAACATTGGATATTGTAATGACATGTTGGCTGCTGAACTGAAAATTTCCCCAGATTTCATTTCAGAAATCCAGTCACCATAATGTTGAGACTCTCCTGACTTATTTGCCATTATTTTCAGTGAGAGGATCTGTAGTCTTATATAAATTAAAATAATTATAAGTGATCACAGACTTACTACAGACTTATTTGGATGAAAGACCCCGTCTACACCTGGTCACTTCATGCGATAGGTATTTGGATTATATCCTGATAAGATTTTAGCCACATGCATTTACTCTTGGTAATCAAAAGTGTCTCTGGTTAGTCAGACTGAAATCCGATTGCTGTGTGGGGTGGAATATATGCAAATGTGCTCATTACATGACAACTAATTACCAACTGTTTATCCGTTCAGCCTGTTCATCTGCAGTTTGTCTTGCACAGTAGTATCTGTCCATGTTGCTATTAAGGATTTTGTTTAATCTGGTCCCCGACCCTGTGAGTCCTCCATGATTCTCTTCCTCGCAAACACAGATCACATGCCCATGTACTGCATGGGGAGGGGTTTTGATTGTATGGGGAGGAATTTTGATTGTACTGGAAGGAGTTTCAGTTGTACTGGGAGGGGTTTTGGTTGTGCTGGGAGGGGTTCTGGTTGTCGACTACGTCTTGGAGAGATGGACGTGTTTATGCTGCTGTAACATGTGGCTCAAATGCATCTCAGTCCACCTCCTGAAGCGGTTCGATTGATCAGATTTGTATCTGATTTAAATGTATCTTGGGTGCGTTTACACTTGCATTTTTTTGTGGCTTGGCCTCATCCATATACAATCCTGATACTTAAGATGCATGAAGTGACCAGGTGTAAACACGGTCTTACAGTTAATGGTCATAGTAAAATCCCAAGTAGGGTAATAATCAATGGCATGTCAAAAGTCCAAATTTGAAGAATGAGAAAAACAAGCAATACTACTTAAGAGACCTGTCTGTGTTGATAGCACTACAAACTATGGTTTATGAAGCATTTAGTGTTCATATGTATAATACTCTCATATATTCATGTAAGCCATAGGAAATGACAGGTCTGCCTGCTACATGAAGAAGGCAGCTTGGTAGTACACAACTTGTAAAATTCTTTCTTTCTGTCTTTTTCCGAGAAGAGATGGAAAGCAAAAAGAAAACTTCACAAGCCGGCGGATCAAATGATTGTATCTCAGTTAAAAAACTGAGCTGATTCATTTGGATTTAGACTTTTGAATATGGAAATTTTGTTAAAAAATGATGTTTTGCTTACTGAAAGTTCTATTTATTTTAAATGCTTATTTTGAGAAGACGGGCATGTTAATCCACAGGCTTTACTGGATTAAATGCTGATTTAGGATCTTTGATCATAATTCAGAATTTGCTATAAAATTTAAAATTTTATCTTACAGCTGAGGTTTATGCAAACAAGGAGCAATTATCATCGAAATCGGCTTGTGTTACTGGGTGGAGATTCTGCTGATAACTGTTCATGTAGTACCATACTCAGACATCATCAAAGAGAGGAAACAATTAATCCATTAAAAGGTTACATTATGAAGAGCACTATTGGAGGAAGGCAGGTATCTGTCTTCAGAACCCCGTCCTACTGGATGGAGCACCTGGATTCACATTCGATTTTCTCAAATGGAGTCGAGTCCATCAAACATTCATCAAACATTCAGATTCAGAACTGCACCTCAATACTGTTTCCTGGTCCACATGCTTTTCTGTTAGTGATGTGAACTGGTCAAGCTACTAGACAAGAGCATTATCTTTTACGAGCAATAACCTCAGTGTTTGGAGCAGAAGCTTTAGAATACACCATGGTGATATTCATCCATGTGCATGAACAGGATCTTCCAAAGTAGGCCTTGACAGACCACTGTGTGCAGATGTGTGGAGAAAGGTTCTATGTTTTAGAGAACAATGATGAAAATGTGGAGGAGCATTTGACGAAAATTGAGACAATGACAAAGAAGAGAAAAAGCAAGTTCTTTGTTCAGCACTCAAAATCTCATGAAAACATGTTTTGAGTCATGCTAAAATGCAAGACAGTCCAGAGAACTTAAGTTGACATGAGAACTGCAAGAACAGAAGGAAGAACAACAACTGAGGGAGACTGAATTGAGGAAAAAGCTGGAAACACTTGAACTAGTTGAGCCGCACTTGAGCAAAGAGCTGGAAGCATCCAGACTCAGTGAGAGTGCACTAAGAAAGGATCTTGAAGGATCCAGACTCAGTGAAACTGCACTAAGGAAAGATCTGGCAGCTTCCAGACTCAATGAGAGTGCACTAAGGAAAGATCTGGAAGCATTGAGACGCAATGAGAGACGCCTAAGTAAAGAACTGAATAAATCAAATGACAGATCTTATAAACTTCAAAGAGAGGTAGAGAAAAGCAAAGAGAGGGAAAATGAGCTACAACAGAAGCTGAAAGATCTTCAGCCTCAAGAGGGGCTACTGCACAACAGTCCTGAGCAACAGATAAGACAGACAAGTGAGGAACCGCAGGCCAGAGAAAGACAACTGGACCATCAAGAGAGAGAAGTGAGGACCAGAGAGAGAGAATTAGAAAGTGGAGTGAGAGAATGGAGCCAGGACACAGGAGTGGGGAGAGGTGAAGAAGAAACTGCTGAATCAGCTGAGGCAGGAAATGTGAAATTTGCACGACGCGACAGTAAAGATTGGTTACCGCCATACAGTAAGATCATTTACCATCAATGCTTATGATAGATTTAGACACAGAGTACTCCACATACTGCTGTAGTGTCTACACTCTCAGAAAAAAGTTATAAACTGTCAAGGGTACATGTCAGTACCTTTAGTCAGGGAACATAATTGTTCCATAATCCATTGAAGTGTACTGACTCCACACACCCCGCTTTGCTCATTAGGTTATGAAAAGGTACAAATACATACTTTTCATGTGAAAAAACTTATTTAAGGTGCACAATTGGACATTAAAACCACTGTTTTACCTTTGAGGGAACATTTACATTGTTTGTACCTTGATGAATGAAAAATGTACCTGCGCAGAACCTTTATTTCTAACAGTGTATGTACTACACTTAACTTGGTACACAGGGTAAAATATGCAGATATGCAGTGTAGCTCACATTTGTTTAGTGAATTTGTGGAACTAGGCACAGCAGGTGTGACTTTACTGTGTTAAATATTTTTGACATAAATAATCTGTTATGAGGCATCACTTGCAGCAATTCTTCTTTTGTTTTTTTTTATCCACAGTTTAGGAAAATGAGAAGAGGACTCTAGATGACCTGGACGCTCTTGTTTCAGTCAACTGGACACACAAATAGATTAAACAAGGATGGCGTTTTATTTAAATGTCCTACAACATGAAATACTCAGAACTCAGAGCAGAGACTCATTGCATGATTCATGTGAAAGACTGTTATTTTTGCACAAAGATGAACAGATGAACAAAAAAAATGATGTTTTCTGATTAAAAAAAGTAAAATACCAATAAAGTAGAATAAATCAATTTTTTTATTGTATATAACTGTTTATGTTAAATTGAATTTGATTTTTTTTTATCTCTTAATTTATGAGATTCAGAGATGCACATCAACACTGTTTTCTTGTCCATGTTTTTTTTTCTTTTCTGTTAGTGATGCAATCTGGCTGTACTTCTGGAAAAGAGCGTTATCTTTTACCCTCAGTTTTTAAGAGGGTGACTTTAGAATACACCAGAGTAATATTCATTCATGGGCATGAACAAAATCTTTCAATCAGGCCGATCAGTGCTCTTTAAAAAGTGACATATAATTACAACTTGTTCCTCTTCCTGTTCTTACTGGCTTTGGGTAAAATCTATATTCTTAAAGGCTCAATTCAAGTGTAAGTGATTTCAGTGCGGTTTATAGTGAATGGGAGTGTTCTCTTCATGTCTGCTGAGAGTTGAAGAATGTTTCCTGGTTTTATCTGCTAGGTCTCTGAGGTGATCCTACATTTTACTACAATCATAACCAGAGACAGTGTGTGAAATAACCCCATTTTGGGGGGTCCCATGTTGGCTGGCTGCTAATTCACTCACCGTATTGGCTCTAATGCTAGCTTTAAAGGCAACAAAATTTTGGTTTAAGACCTTTTTTTACTGATATACATGATCATAGATACATATGATTTTCTGTCTGTACAATTGACCTTTATATATATATATATACCTTTACATATATATCGTTGTTGTCGGAACAAAATCTCGTATCTCCAAAATGGTAACTTTACAGGAGAAGAAAAAACCTACTTTACTTTTAATGTAAGTCAATGGAACCAGACATTTTTCCAAGTCATGTTGGGCCGTTTCTTTTGGTCCATTCTTCATGAAATGGGCAACAGGACTTTTCAAATTATGTCAAAAACTGAAAAACACCAAAAAAAGGAGATACAAGGTTTTGTTTCTTACAGCAGCGATATATAGTCCCATTTCCTATATATTTTTTAAAATAATATTTGTAAGCTCCAGTTTTCTCCTATACAACATATGAGCTAAAAATGCTCATATTGCTGTCTGTTCAGTAAGCTGCAGGAAGTGCTGATCTTAATCAACATCGCCCTCTAGTGAAGCTAACAGTTGTAACAGGTTTCAGGTAAAGAAGAATGTCATGTTGTGCTGAAATCTAAAGTAAACCTGAAGAGTGAAGTTGGAATGCTTGGATTCGTATGGAACTTAGCGTATCCAGTATGTGAAAAAAAAGGGGAGTGTTGTAGGTATTGATACTCTGTGAAAATGCAGTTATGATTTGATATCTTGTTCATTTGAAATACATTGTGTGTGAGTGTCTTACTGCATACGGACATGGTTAATGTAAAGTACAATGCAGATCACAGAAGGCAGTACGTTTAGTCACATCTGTAACCTTCATTACAACTACATACAACTGAAAACAATACAAATAAATGCATTTTAAAATATATGTTTAATAAATATATTGTTTGGCCATTTTCATATATTGCAACAATATATTTGATAAATACATTTGGAATTTTTTTTCCCATATGGGACAGCTCAAAGCACAATGTAACAGGTTCAGTTGGGACACCTGCCACCCCCACCCCCCCAAAACCCCCTTTACTCTGCTCTGAGTTTTTATAGTTTACTTTCGTAGCAGCAGAACCCCAATCAGAACTGAACCCGTACTGTGGTGTGGGGCACTGTTTGGATCTGAAACCCACTAGCTAAGCTTACTTGAAGTGCTGCTAACTAGGAGAGAGGAGGCAGCTAGCATTAAGCTAGCTACCAGTCTACAGATGTAAACACCTCAGAGCAGGTTTAATTTCAGCTTTCTGTCACTCCAACACCAACCACTAGATTTCACTGCCTCAGATTTGAGTCAGTATCATTTAAACATCCAGGCAAACTGGATATTCTATTGTTTTTAAAGGAATGATTGTTTTATTCCTTGCATGCAGGTACCCAGACATTTAGCCGGCCTGTTAAACAGTGGACAGTCACAATTATATAGGCTGGACTGATGCCAAGATTAGGCCCAGCCTATACATGACAAGTGACAGGTGTGACAGACATGACCATGTACAAATAGACAAAAATAGGCAGAACAGAATGTTTTGGGTACAATCACATCACATGCATGGTACAACACACACAAGAGTGAATATAACAACATATAGCACTAAAACACATTACACAGCAGTAATTCTATAGAGACTGTGTGTCAGCAGCAGGGAACCATACACTCATTACACTCATTGCTGATGCCAATAATTTTTAATGTTCACTGTACACACTAAACGAATGTGTAGTAAAAGCATGACTTTGTTATTCGACCATGCAGTTTCATAGCAAAGTGAAACTCAGACCTTGTGAATTGGTAATGACTCATAAAATCCCTGGCGTTCCTGCTTCTGTTTTTCATAAAAAAACGAGGATGTGCATGGCCACTAGATGGAGACAAAGCTCATATTTAGCAAAAGGTGCCTCTAGCACTTAAAAAAAAAAAAATAATAATAATAATAATGAATTTTAATTTATAATTTATACATGATATATATAATTTCAGACATATAATACATATCAAAGTGAACAAATATAACTGATATGTAAATATATATAAAAATAGCAAAAAAAAAATAACATTGGGCAAGTGCTAGGTGGCTAAAATATGCTAAAAATAACCACGATATAATTTTACATACTAAAAAGTGTAAAATATCATGTAAAAAAGAAAAAAGTAAGTTAACATAAAGCTGCTCCATGGTTTGGCAGGTGTTGATTCTTCAGTTTCTACTCACACTTTGCAAAGTATTGCCCGTGTTTCACCAAATTGTATAGAGCGTTTTTAGCATCCTGTGTTTTTGACCCTTTTTGTGCT